TAAGGGGGTAAAAATATTTTGGTTACATGGATAGCTTTTATAATGCTTGAGTCAGGGCTATTAGTGTGCGCATCACCCAAATAGTGTCCATTGTACCTGCTAGGTAGGTTTTTGCCCCTTCCCTCCTCCTCCTCCCCTCTTCTTGATTTCCAATGACTTTTACTTTCCTCTGTTCCCATGGGTGCCCATGGATTAGTTCCAACTGATTAGAGAGTATATGTGGTGTTTGTTTTTCCATTTCTGTATGTTGTTATTAAATCCTTTTCTTTTACCACAGTATCATTCTCAATAGACTTTCTCCAGTTTTCCATTTCTTTGTCTAATTTATCATTTTTCTGCCAGAATTCCAATATGTTCTTAAATATGACTCTCATCCAATCATTTCTTAGCCCCAGACTTTTAATCATTTCCCATTGTTTTCAGGATGAACTAGTCCCTTATCTAATATGAAACCTTCCTGTCGATTCTCCTTTCTAAATTCTCTAGTATAAAAACTCAAATATCCTCAGTGGAATAGGCAGGTATCAAAAGGTTTCCCTAGAATAGTGGTTCTCCATCTTGGCTTCCAACAGAATCAGTTGGGGGAGCTTTTTAAAAACAAAACCAACATGCCTGTAGTCCCAGCTGCTTGGGAGGTTGAAGTAGGAGGATAGCTTGAGCCCAGGTGTTGGAGGCTGCAGTGAGACAGGATTGTGCCACTGTACTTCAGACTGGGTGACAGAGCGAGACCCCTTCTCTAAAAAACCCCCAAAAAACCCAAAACCAAAATCCCACCATTTCCACTCCAGATTCTGATCACATTGGTCTGCGATGAGACCCAGGCATCAGTATATTTTAAAAGTGTTTTCTAGTTATTTTAATGTGCAGTCAGGATTGAAAACCATTGTCCTAGATCTAGGAAAACCTTTTATTTCAACCACCATTTTCCTTGCTTGAAATTTCCATTCTTGTTCTGTCTATCCTACTGTTGATCTTCAGAGCCTACCTTAATACCTACTTTATCACCGAAGGGTTTCTTCACTATTTTAGCTTATCCCAAAATAGTTTCTCTGTCCTCTGAATTCATAGTATTCAATAGCTCTATGCCACTCAATTACATATTGCCTCATAACCTTTTTTATGTTTTGGTAAGTATATTTATTATCTTTGTTATTTTTAGCTTAAAGTTATGTGCATTTTTCATCTTCACCACTGTTTTTTAGCTGCTGAGGGACAGCGTACGTGCTATTGTATTCCCATAATACAGTGCTGTGTGTATAGTTAGAGGAAAATATTTGCAGAATGAGTGAAATAATGTGGTTAGGAATTCGAACTGTCATACAAAATGTTATATTGCCTTAATGAGAAGTAGATTGGGTTAGGTTTATTCCTATTTTTTAGTGATGCTACATTTTTCTTTTTTCTGAGTCATTCCAGCTTTTTTGCAAAAGAAAAAAATTTTAGCTTTGTAATACAACTTTGCATAAGTAAGTTTACTATAAAGAAATTACACATGCTCATGAATAATTGCTGATTGCTAAATAGGAACCAAAGAGTTATTTCCATGGAATAGTGCTGCAAAAATTCAATATATTTGGGGGTGTTTACTTTATAATGCTACTGTAAAAGAAGACATTTCCTGGTTTGGTTTTACGAGTGTGTGTGTGTGTGTGTGTGTGTGTGTGTGTGTGTGTGTGTG